GAAGGGAAGGGAAGGGAAGGGAAGGGAAGGGAAGGGAAGGGAAGGGAAGGGAAGGGAAGGGAAGGTGGCTCGTGCAGAGGGTGCAGGCTCAGCCCTGGATCCCTGGATCCCACCTTTCCCTGGAAGCAGCGGGCTTTGGCTCCTCTCCTGGCACACTCGGGTCCCTCCCGCTCCTGCCCCATCGCATTCCCGGCGGGAGCGGCTCCCGTTGCCAGGGGCGATGGGAATCGGGGCCGGCATTCTCCTGGAGGAGGAGCAGGAAAAGCTCCGGGGGGGAATAAAACCTGATTTCCCCCTCATTAAAATGAGGGACGAGCCCCTCGAGGCGACTCCTCTTTGCCGGGGCTTGGAAAGGCTCCAAACCCGATTTTTCAGGAGCCGAGCCAGACCCTCCCAGAGCCCGGGGGAGCTGGGGGGGCTCATCCCGGAGAAAAGGAGGCTCAGGAGGGACCTTCTGGCTCTGGAATTCCCTGACAGAGGTTTGGGAGCCCCCCCCTGAATCCCTGGGGGTGTTTTGGCGTGGCACAGGGGCGGGCTGGATGATTCCCAGCCTCAGGGATTCCGGGATTTTAGGATTCCCCAAGGCCTTTTTTCCACACCTCCCCCCTCCCCACCCCAAGCAGGAGAAGCATCTCCCAACACAATTTACACCCCCAGCTTTCCTCCCTCCTCCCCAGCCCCTTCAGCCCCAACCCCGGATTAAAACACCCGAGGCAAAGAGCTTGTATTAAAAATCATATATATATATATATATATATAGTGTCAAATAAAACAATCAGCCCTGTGTACAAACCTCTGTAGGTGACAAAAAATAAAACCTCTGTGTCAAACCAAACCAAAAATAAAAAAAAAAAAAGAAATAACCCAAAAGAAATTAAAAAGAAAGTGCTCTCTGCTGTTCTGGCTCTCTCGGGGTTCTCTACAAGCTCGGGGGAACACCCAAAAACCTCCTGGCAGGGCTCAGGTAAGGCACAGAATTTAAAATGTGGAGCTCCAGAGGGGGTTCAGCGCCTCTGGAGGGTCTCCCTCGACTCGTGGAGAGGGATTTGAGCTCAGGGAAGTGGGAGGCAAAAGCACCTGGAAAGTCATTACTGGCCCTCAGGGCTGCTCTGAAACACCCAGCACGTGATTCAGAGCAGCTCCTGAGCTGCTGCCTCCTCCTTCTGCCAGACTGGGGGGGTCTTTTATCCCAGTTCTGCACAGTTTTTAATCCAAAAATGAGCGACAGGGAACTTCAGCGACCACTGCAGACCCACAGGGCAGCGCAGGAGAGTCTCGAATTCTGAACAATCTGAATTATTCTCAGCCTTTTCTCAAACCATATATTCTTTTTTTGGGGTGGTGGTGGTGGTTATTCTGTGATTACAGCACTGCAAAGGAGGGGAGAGGTGGAAACTCATCACCCCCCCCACTCAAAAATAAAAATTCAGCTCGAAGGTAACAACGCAGCCAAATTCAACCCCGCACGAGGATCTTAAAACCATCAGGATTCCCAGCCCTGTTTTGGGCAACCAGGAGCTTTTGGGATTTGCTCCAAAGAGCCAAGCCCAGAGGAGTGCCCAGGGATGCCCGGGGAGGTGTTTGAAAGGACTGGATTGTGGTGGTGGTGGAGGGTCCCAGCTCGAGGACCTCAAGGGATCCCTTCTGACCTCCCCAAATCTGTCACTCTGACTGGTTCCAGGTCCCACCCACGACACTGCTGAGGAGCTGAGACCGCTCAGGGAACACTTCCACAGGTATCCACATCAATTTTGCAGGGAAAAAAAACCTCCCAAAGCTCCTCAGTGAGAAGACAAGAAGTCCAGCCCAGCCCTGCTTGGCCGCTCCTCGAGCTCTGGGCGGGTTCTCCTGGAGAGCAGCTCGTGGAAACCACCCAAAAAACGAGGAATTCTGCTGGTTTTGGGGGGGCAGCTCCAGCCACGTTTCACCCAGCCCAGCTCCCAGCACCCGCTCACGAACCCATTTACGCTCCAAAAAACCCAACACGGGCCGGGGGGCCCCGGCGAGGTGGTGGGGAGGGGGAAAAAAAAATGCCCACAAAACAGGAGTGAAAGCGTTTGCAGTGCCCCAAATTCCAAGGTCCAGAATCAAGGGAATCTCATCCTAAACAGAAATAATTGGCAGAGTCACTGGCTCCCTCTCAGAGTCCCCTCAGGGTGTTGTGACCCCCACGGAGGGTGGGGTGGGGGGGTGTCTCGTTCCGTCCTCCCGCTGGAGCTCCTCCTTTTTTTTTTTTCCCCCCCAGCCCCCCGGCTCAGGTGACCGAGTCCTTCTTCCTGCGGAAGGGCGACTTCAGCCTCCTCCACACGCTGCTCTTGGGCTTGGATTTCTTCTCCATGGCCATCACGGCCTCCCTCTCCTTGCGGCGGATCTCCCGCACCAGGGCGTGGAAGACGTCGTCGATGTAGTAGCGGTAGGCGGCCGACGTCTCGAAGAAGGGGCAGTTGAACTCCCGGGCCAAGGCAGAGCCTTCCTCCTTGGACACCTCGGAGGGAAAACAACCCCCACACCAGCTCAGGGAAGAGTTTATTCCGTCAGGACCCTCCCAGTTCCCTGTTCCACAACCTTCTCCAGAGTTTTCTCCGCCAAACCTGTCCCTGCTTCCACTCGCCCCCTGCCCTGGGCATTCAGGAAAACAACACCCTTTGGAAAGGATTATTCCTTTCCTTGGAGTTTAACCTGGCAGTTTGGGGCAGCTAAAGGTGCTCCCCTTTCCTCCCACTCCTTTCCATCCCCTGTCACCGGTATCTGATCCACACCAAAAGTTTATTTAATTCCAGGTGTAAAACTGGCACCTCTGGAACTGGTTTTCCCAGGCACTGGTTTTCCCAGGCACTGGTTTTCCCAGGCACTGGTTTTCCAAGGCACTGGTTTTCCCAGGCACTGGTTTTCCCAGGCACTGGTTTCCCCCCAAAGGGAAGTTTTGCCCCCAAGCTGTTTTCCCACTGCCTTCTCCAGCTGGAAGTCACTTTTCCTCTCTGCCCACCCTTATCCAAGTTCTCCTGGTGCATCTCCTTTAGAATCACTAAAATCAACCTCAAAATCAACTAATTAATCCCACCCCCTGCCGTGGGCAGGGACACTTTCAGCTATCCCAGGTTGCTCCAAGCCCTGTCCAACCTGACACTCCCAGGGATCCGGGAGCAGCCACAGCTTCTCCGCCCAACCCGTGCCAGGGCCTGCCCACCCTCCCAGGGAGGAATTCCTTCCCAATATCCCACCTAAACCTGTCAGTTTGAAGCCCCTGCAAGGCCACAGTTGGGTCTCCTCTCCGGGCTGCCCCATCCCAGCTTTTCCTCCTGGGCAGAGCCGCTCCATCCCTTCCCATCAGCTCCTCCGGAGTCGCTCCCGCAGCTCCAGGTCCTTCCCGCTCCGGGATGCCGGGGCTTGGTCTCTCAGAATCCAACCCCCCCCTCGCCCTTCCACCAGCGCTGTGGGATCAACCCAGAGCCTGGGGGGGGAGTTTCCAGGCTCTCCCCCACCACAGGAGACCAGGAATTCCACCCCGTGGACAAACCCGGGAATGGCCGAAACCCCAAACCACCCCCCCCGGGGAGTGCGGGGGAGACGAGGAGAGGGAGCCGGAAACCTCGGGATGGGATTTCCCGGCGGGATCAGCCCCCCCCCCCCCACGCCCCTCCTCACCTGGCGCAGCTGGGACAGGTCGGACTTGTTGCCCACCAGCACGGCGGGCGTGTCGTCGGTGCGGCGCACGCGGTAGATGAGCTGCCGGAACTCCCGCACCTCGTGGAAGCTGCGCCGGTCCGTGATGGAGTAGCAGATGATGAACCCCTCGCCCGCCCTCATGTACTGGTCCCTCATGGCCGTGAACTCCGCCTGGGAAACGGGGTGGGGGGGAATTCCCGCTCCGTGTCACGTCGTTCCGACGGCGGCAAAGGGGTCGGAATTCCGGAGCCACCCCCCGGTCATCGACATTCCCGGCCCAGGCGCTCCTGGGATGGTCCCCGAGGGGAGGGAAACCCCCCTGGTGTGGGAGCAGGAGTTCCCTGGCACAGATATTCCCATTTTCCCCAATTCCTCATTTTCTTCTCCCCCGGGATCAGGTCGGGACCGAGGCCCCGCTGCGGGATCGGTTCGGTGTCCGGATCCAGCTGGGGATGGATCCCTGAGGATCCCAGGGGGGGGATCTCGGGGCAGGATCCCGCTGGATCCCAGTTCCCTTCACATTCCCAGGGCTCCAAGTGAACAGCCCTGCAGGGATGTGGGAGGAGGGAGGAGGAGGAAGAAGGGGCTGACAGAGCCTGGGAGGGGCCGGGAGGGAACTGGGACAGCCCAGGGAAAGGACTGGGATACCCTGGGAAGGGACTGGGACACCCTGGGAGGGGACCAGGACATCCCAGGAGGGGTCAGGACATCCCAGGAGGAACTGGGAAAGCCCAGGAAGGGCTGGGACATCCCAGAGGGACGGGGACATTCCCACCCCCGGCGGAATCAGGAACAGAGCTCAAAAAAAAAAAAACCCCAATTTTTCCCAGGATTTTGTGTCCCTTCACCTGCTCCTTCCAGACCCCTCTGGATCCCCCCACCCCAGGTCACTGCCCACTCACCTGCCCCGCCGTGTCCAGGATGTCCAGGTTGGCGGGTTCGTCGTCGATGCGGATCCGGATTTTATAGGCGTCCTCTGGGCGGGAATTGGGATGGGAACAACCCGTCAGCTCCCAGTGACAGCTACACTGACACCACCCCACAGCCCCTCGAAATATTCTGCCTTTAAATATATGAGTATTCTGCTTTTAAATATATAAATATTCTGCTTTTAAATATATAAATATTCTGGCTACAAATATATAAATGTTTTGCCCATAAATATATATTTTTGCCTATAAATATACAGATATTTTGGCTATAAATATGTAAATATTCTGCACATAAATATCTGGATATTCTGCCCATAAATATATAAATATTCTGCCTATAAATATATAAATATTCTGCCCATAAATAAATAAATATTCTGCCTATAAATAGATATATTCTGCCTATAAATAGATATATTCTGCCTATAAATATACACTCTGCCTATAAATATACACTCTGCCTATAAATGGGTAAATATTCTACCTATAAATATATAAATATTCTGCCCATAAATATATAAATATTCTGCCTATAAATATATAAATATCCTGCCTAGAAATAGATATATTCTGCCTATAAATACATATTCTGCCTATAAATATGCATTCTGCCTATAAATAGGTAAATATTCTACCTATAAATATATAAATATTCTGTCTATAAATATATAGACATTCTGCTTATAAATATATATAAACACTTATATAAAATATATTTATATATTCTGTCTATATATAAATAATCTGTCTATAAATATATAAGTGTTCTGTCTAGAAATATATAAATATTCTGCCTATAAAGAGATAAATAGTCTGGCTATAACTATATAGATATTTTGTCTATAAGTATTTAGATATTTTACCTATAAATGTATAGATACTCTACCTATAAATATATAAATATTCTGTCCAGAAATATATATATATTCTGCCTAGAAATGTATAAATATTCTGCCTAGGAATACACAAATATTCTGCCTATAAATACATACTCTGTCTTTAAATATACAAATACTCTGCCTATAAATAGATATTCTGGTTATAAATTTATAAGTATTTATTTAATCCGTCTATAAATATGCAACTATTCTGCCTATAAATACACAAATATTCTGCCTGTAAGTACCTGTTCTACCTATAAACGTGTGGATATTCTGTTTATAAATAGATAATTATTCCATTTGTAAATGCATAAACATTCTGTCCATAAAGATATATATTCTGCCCATAAATATATAAGTGTCATGGCTATAGATACATAAATATTCCGTAAATATTCTGTCTCTCCAGGTCAAATTAAAAAGCAGAGGGGAAAGAGGGGTTTTCCTCACCGATGGTGGGGTCGTGATCCTCGGGGAAGCGGTGGCTGATGAACTGCATGGTCATGGCTGCAGGGGAAACCCGGGACATCATCAACCTTTGCCTTCATTTTTCCCGTTTTTTTCCCCATTTTTCCAGGATGTTGCCCTGGGAAACCCCCTCTTCCCCCTCATATTCCCGTTTTTTCCACGTTTTCCCCCCCAACCCCAGAAGCAGGAGGGCATCAAGGCCCCCGACTGGCGGCACCGCTTCCACATCCCCGTGCTGAGAGGGATCCCAAGGATCCCAGACCACATTCCCAGGGATCCTCCCCATGTTCCCAGGGAGCCCCGACCCCTTTTCCCATTTTCCCCACATTCCCCTTTTTTTTTTTTTTACTCCCCCCTCCACCAGGATCAGGTCGGGATTGAGGCGTGTCCGGATCCAGCTGGGGATGGATCCCTGAGGATCCCAGGGGGGGGATCTCGGGGCAGGATCCCGCTGGATCCCAGTTCCCCTTCACATTCCCGGGGCTCCAAGTGAACAGCCCTGCAGGGATGAGGGAGGAGGAGGAGGAGGAGGAGGAAGGGGCTGACACAGCCCAGGAGGGGCCGGGAGGGAACCGGGACAGCCCAGAGGGACCAGGACAATCCAAGGGGACCGGGACACCTGGGGAAGGGCCGGGACATCCAGGGAGGGAGAGGGACATCCCAGAGGGACAGGGACATCCCGGGAGAGACAGGGACATCCCAGAGGGACGGGGATAACCCAAGGGGACCGGGACACCTGGGGAAGGGCCGGGACAGCCCGGGAGGGACAGGGACAGCCCAGAGGGATGGGGACAATCCAGAGGTACCGGGACACCCTGGGAAGGACCGGGATATCCCAGGAAGGTCCGGGACATCCCGGGAAGGACTGGGACAGTCCAGAGGGACCGGGACAATCCAGGGGGACCAGGACACCCCGGAAAGGGATGGGACATCCCGGGAGAGACCGAAGACACCCCAGAGAGACGGGGACAATTCAAAGGGACCGGGACAGCCCGAGAAGGGCCGGGACAGCCCGGGAGGCGCCGGGACATTCCAGGAAGGGCCGGGATAATCCAGCGGGACCGGGACAGCCCAGAACGGGCCAGGACAGCCCGGGGGCACCGGGACACCTCGGGAAGGGCCGGGACATCCCGGGAAAGGCCGGGACAGCCCGGGGGGAAACAAGACAGCCCGGGAAGGGCCGGGACAGCCCAGCGGGATGGGGACAATGCAGTGGTACCGGGACACCCCGGGAGGGACCGCGCCCAGACCGCGGCGGGGGTGGGGGGGTGTTAAGGGGCCACTGCCAAGCCGGGACCCACCGGGTCGAGCCCCCCGGGCTGAGCCCCCTGGGCCGGTCCCCCCCCCAGCACTCACCGCTCTTGCCGACGCCGCCCGCCCCGAGCATCACCAGTTTGTACTCGCGGTTCTGCCCCGCGCCGGGGCCACCGCCGCCCGGGCGGGCTCCGGAGTCCATCGCCCCCCACTCTTCCCCTTCCCCCGGTTTCCTCCCTCTCGCTTTTTCCCGGTTTTTTCCCGGTTTTTTGTTTTTTTTTTTTTTTTTT